AAATAGGTGGGCAGACACAAAGGCTCCTATTGCATGATTCCACGTACAGAAACATCCAGAACAAGTAAAAGAATAGGGAGAGAAAGCAGCTTAGGGGTTTCCAGGGTCTGGGCTGGGGGCGAAATGGGCAGGGGGGCTTCTGGTTCGGGGACTCCTTTGAGACATGAGATATTCCGCAGCAATGTTCTGGGGTGTGGTGGCACAGCGTTGGGAATGTACTTATGCTCATCACATGTTCAGTTGAAAACAAGTAATTTTATTTAAAACAAATAATAAACAGTATACAGAACATGAAAATGAACAATATGAACCAGAACAATATGAACCAGAGAGAAAGAATATAGGGGGAGGGGGTGAAACAATCTGGCGGGGCGTCGGGGTCCGGCGATGGAACTAAGGGCTATTGTACAAGGAGCTCTCCCCGCAGGGCTGTGGGCTCTGGATGTGGCTCTGGGAGCCCTGCGGGAGTAGGAGTAGGGGCAGGGGTTGGGATAGGGGCAGGGCCAGGGGCAGGGCCAGGTGTAAGAGCAGGGCCAGGGGCAGGGGCAAGGGGAGGGATAGGATCAGCAGTCGTGGCAGGTGCAGGATCTAGGGCAGGACCTGGGTAAGGAGCAGGAACAGGAGCTCCGGCAGGCGCAGGGGCAGGGGCAGCGGCAGAAGGAGCAGGAACGGGAGCTCAGGCAGGGGCAGGGGCAGGGGCAACAGGTCTGGCAGGGGAAGGGGCAGAAGCAGGAGCAGGAAAAGGAGCAGGAACAGGAGCTCAGGCAGGGGCAGGGGAAGGGGCAGCAGGTCTGGCAGGGGTAGGGTTATGAGCAGGAGCAGGGTCAGGGACAAGAACAGGAGCTCAGGAAGGGTCAGGGGAAGGGGCAGCGGAGTCTGGCAGGGGCAGGGACAGGAGCAGGAGAAGGAGCAGGAGAAGGAGCAGGACCCGGAGCTCAGGCAGGGGAAGGGGCAGTGGCTCTGGCAGGGGCAGGGGAAGGGGCAGTGGCTCTGGCAGGGGAAGGGGTAGGAGGAGGATCAGGAGCTGGGTTGGAGCAGTGGCAGGTGCAGGATCCAGGGCAGGAGCTGGGTCAGGGGCAGGATCCAGGGCAGGAGCTGGGTCAGGGGCAGGTGCCAGTTCGTCCTGGTCCGCGTCAGGCTCTCCGTGGGTGGGTGTCGGGTCACCTGCCGGCTCCTGGTCTCTTCCTGCAGTCGCCGCAGGCACCACCCCTCCGTCCAGAGCTGCCGATGGAGTTGGAACCGGGTCTAGCTCCTCAGGTGGTGGGGCAGCTGTGAGAGGAGAAAAGCTCACCCCGAGCCCGCTCTCCGTGGGCCTTTGCGGAGACAGAACCCAGCCCAGGGCCTCCCAGAGAAGCCGCAGCCAGGAAGGAGCCCTCCCTGGGGTGTCTCCCCGACTGCAGTCCACCCGCTGGATGCTCTGCGCCCAGTCTTTGCTCCAGGCCCCACACCAGCCTCTGGGGGCTCGTCCCTGTGGGGCCAGCACCGACCCATCCCCACACACCACAAACACCCAGCCCCAGCCTTCTCACCCTCGGGCTCGGTCTCCGTGGGCTCCGGCTCCTGGACCACTGTCCGGTGACCAACCACCTGGGACAGTGGTCTGGGGGGTGTTGGAGGTCTTGCCCGGCAATCCCCAGCACTTGTTTTGGGGGATGCCTGTGGGGTCAACCCCTCCGTCAGGGAGGAGGGCCTGTCCGCCAGCCGCCTCGGGAGGTCATCCATGGCCTTCTGCAAAGGCAGGGACAGGTAGCCGGCTGGAGGCATCACAGCCCTGCCCGGCCATCCTCACTGTCCTCCTGCCCAGTCCCCCTGCTGCTCCCAGATCAGACACAGACCTGCGAGTGCACAGCCCTGCACCCGGGATGCAGTGACCCATCCCTGCAGGGCTATCGGGATAAACCCTGGGTAGAAGGGGCAGCGCCCCCACACCCCATCCCACCCAGCCAGCCTTGACCTTGAACATGACCTGCCCACTGGGAATCTGACCCCTCATCAGACTGCTCCTGCTCAGGGTGGCCCCACCCCACATGACCCCTCTTTACACACACACACACACACAGACACACACGCACGCACACACACACTCACACAGAGACACGCACAGACACACACACACGGAGGGGGGCCTGGGGCTGCACAGGCAGATCAGAGCGTGTGGGGCTGGGTGGCAGGCTCTGGGCCTCCTGGTGTCACCTTTCTGTCCTTCCGGCCAAATGGCCAGAGGCTGTGGGGAGCCCTGATTCGACATCCCCAGCGGGGGACAGCGTTTGCAGGGCGCTCTTTCTTCAGCCTGCAGCGTCCAGATTTGGGGAAACAACACCCGAACATGCTTTTTGTTAGACGGTCTCCAAAGAAATGAGCTGGGCAGGGGGCTGTCTCTGGAATGTGGGTGCCTGGTTACCGGGGTTCCAAATTCTGTTGGGCTCTGTTGTCAGGGAAGTGAGGTCACCACTGCCTGGGGTCCCCTTACCCAACTTCCTCCTCACACAAGACCGCCGCCCGAGGGCCCCCTCCCCCGGCTGCTCAATGCTCCCCTTCCCCCCATGCACCATCCATACAGTGACTCCCTCACAGCCCCCCCACAGCCTTCCCAAGGCCTCGGTGCAGCCGGTGTACCTGCTGTGAGGACACAGAGCTGGCTTCAGACTGGGCTCCTGTGCGTGCCCAGGGCTGTGACCCTGGACAGACCCTGTGCCTCTCAGGGCCTCCCCAGGCTCCCCATCTGCACAGTGCGGTGTTCTGGCTTCTACTCCTAGGGACGCCATCAGGGGTAGGACCTCTACATTCATTCCGGAACTGCTATCGCAGGAGGCTGGGGCACACTGGGCAATGCAAGGAGGAGCCAGGGTCTGGGCGGGACATGGAGCACAGCTCAGAGGGGCCGGGGTCTGCTCTGGGGTCTGGGCAAAGCCACCCCCTTCTTGCCTGTTCCCAGCCCCTGTGGGAAGGTTGCAATGAACGGATTCCGACCTTTTCCCCCGGTGACGCACACTTCCAGGGGCTCCCATTAGGTTTAGGTTCAGGCCCCGGGGCCTTGTCTGCGCCCATGTGCTGGGCAGTCCCCACAGTGGTTCCCGGGCATTCCCGCATCCTGCTCACACATCCCTGTGGAATCCCCTCCCCTCTGGGGTGGATGGCCTGTGTGACCGCACTCTCAGGAAGAGAATGGGGCCAAATGCTTGGATGTCATATCCAAGCTGATGGAGGAAAGTCTGTGACTTCTTCTGGTTCCCTCTGTCGTGTGTTCATTCTCCATCTCCTTATCTGTTTCTGTCTCTGTCTCTGTGTCTCTCACAGGAGCAGGATCTGTGGACTCCAGGGGTGATGTGAGAAACCTCAGAAGCCTCCCTTGTCCGTGTTTCCCTCTTCTGTCCCGGTGCTCCGTTCCTTCCTAAGGCCTTGTCACCCGGACCAGAGCAGTGAATCTGGAACCTCTTCCAAATGGAGACCCGGAGGCTGCAACAAGGAGGGTCTTGGCCTTGGTCCCCAGACTAGTGGTCAGTGCTCTGCCACGTTCTGCGTACCCAGGTCCTCAGCCCCCAAGCCCCCAGTCTGTCCCCTGCTCCGAAGGACCTCGAGGGAGTACAAAGCATTTTCCCAGGACTGGGAGCACAGGGGTTCGGGGATGGAGATACAAGGCCAACAGGCTCTCCCACAAGCCTGTGGGACCCTAGGGACACTGCATCTCTACAGCCCAAGTGACAGAAGAGTAAGCTGAGGCCTTTGTGCTGGAGCCCCTCTGGACTTGGGGGTGGGTATCTCTTCCTGCTTCCAAGTGCCCAAGCTGGTGATGGACACCCGAACCCAGACCCTGTCCTCTCCCAGTGCCCTGGCAACCCCCCTGGGCCCCTTGGGGACCCCTGACCCTCAGCCTGGCCTGTCTCCCCGCCCCATGCTATGGATCTGGGTCCTTGCCAGGAGTCCTGATGCCCTGCCCCATGGCCCAGCTGTCTGCAACCTGTTTCTTCTTTCCCCCCTGTCACCCACCTCACTCCCAGGGTGTCCTCCCCTTCTGACCCCCAGCTGGGCAGTCAGAGTGGTGTGTGTGGGGGTGTGGGGATGGGTGTGGGGGTGGGTGTGCAGGTGCATGTGCCTCTACGTGCCTGGGGATGCCAAGGTCATGTCCCCACATGGGACGGGGTGGGTAGCTATTCCTGAGGATCTGAGGGGCTCTCACCCCCAAAGCAAACCTCATGGGAGGGTTGGGACTGGAGAGCAGCTCCTTGGACTCTGCACCCCTCATTTATCCTGGGCCAGTCCCTGCCTCTCTTGACCCAGGTTCCCAACTGTCCCTGAGGGTCGGACATGGAAAGGCTTGAACGTGGCTGCTCCTCCAGGGGTAGGTGGGGGACAGGTGCACCAGGCACGCGGGCCTCCCCACCGAGAGGGCCAGCCATGTGTGTCATGGCCAGGTGTGCACAGACGACCTGCTCACAGCTCCTGGACCATGACCCAGCCCTGCGGCGGGTGTGCACGAGACCCACGGCTCCGCACCTGACCGGTCCCCCGCGTTCCCTCACCACCTCGAAGACAAGGGCTCTTCTTCATCCTAGGGCCCGTCATCCTTCGGACAATGAGAGCAGAGGGATCCATATGTAGAGGAGGCCGGCAGGGCGTCCCACGGAACGTCGTGTGCCCATCTCTGCTTTGTCATCTTGGCTTAGCGGCGGACCCCCACCTAGAAAGAGGCCCACGGGGTAGGCACATTTGTCCGCCCTGTTCCCTGAAGTATGGAAAATGTCTAGAAGGGGCTTCCTGTCCGTTTGTGGAGTCGATGAAGCCCAGCCAGCACCTTTCAGATGTCTGAGTGGCTCTGGGGCCCCTTTGCCAGCCCCCAGGGATCCCTGCTCTGGCTCCACCCAGGATGGGAGCCCCAGAGGGAATCTGAAACCTCCCCACAGCCAGGAATGCGGGTTTGCTCTGGACACAGGACAGCGAGGCTTGGGGCAGAGAGCTCCTTCATGGTGGAGAGGAACCGCCTCAGCCCCAGGCCACCCTCCCCGTGGGACGGCCACAGGGTCGGGGAGCGGTCCCAACAGGCCCGACGGCAACCCCCTGTGTGGGGCCTGGCCTCGTGGCACGCAGGGTCCCCAGGGGACACCTGAGGTTCGGAGAGGGGACGTGCCAGGCCCGAGACACACAGCCCGCAGGTGAGGGGGAGCCTCCGGGCGGGACGGGGGGCCCTGCTCACCTTGGTGAGCAGCAGGTGTGGGAAGGGCTGGGGAGGCGTTCCTCTGGGAGGTGCTCCGGGAGAGCGGCCACAGGAGAGGGCCTGGCCCGGCTCCACCAGCTTCCTCAGGCTGTCACCACGGACCGCCCACAGCCTCTGGCTCGCCCCCAGCGGCAGGGCCCACTCAGGTTCACGGTGGGGCTGATCTGTGGTAAAGGAGGGACAATTCACAACACAGAAACTGGAAAACTATTTCTGTCCGTGTCCTGAAGTGCAACAGAATATCCAAATTGGTTCGGATCATCTTCCACGTATGTGAAGGGTGATTTTGTACCTGGCCAAGGCTGGGGCTGGACCGGGTGTGTGTGTCTGTGTGTGAAGGACCAGGTGTGTGTGTGTGTGTGTGTGTTTGAAGGACTGGGTGTGTGTGTGTGTGTGGTGTGTGTGAAGGGAGCAGCCCAGACCCCTTGGGTTGAGATCATGGCCACGTAAGGGGCACAGCCGTCGTGGCACCCCGGGTCGTCAGTGTCCCGGATGGCGTCGGGGCAGGAGACCCTCGCGGCCCTCCCCGAGCCCGGTCCTGGAGCGCCCTCGTGCCCACACTCCCCCTGAGCCCGCACCAGCCCTTACCGACTGCCTGGTGCACGTGCCCCACGCCGGGGAGCCGTCGAGTGAGGCTCCTGTTGACCAGCTTGTCCCCAATTTCTTCCATGGGGCTCTGCGAAGACAGTGAGCGGCGCCCGGCCCGGAGGCATCACAGCCCTGCCCGGCCGTCCTCACCGTCCTCCTGCCCAGGCCCACTGCTGCCCCCAGATCAGACACAGCCCCGTGCGGGCACAGCCCTGCGCCTGGGGTGCAGTGACATGTATCGATAGGGCTCCGGATCAACCCGGGGAGAAGGAGGCCGCCCCAGCACAGCCCGTCCCTGTGCCTTGTCAGAGGAAACCGGCCTCCCCCAGCAGCGCTGAGCTGCCTCGAGACCTGCCTCTCGTTCTCGGGCTGCCTCTCACTCTGCCAGTGGTGCCGGATCGGGTGGGAGAACTGGTGTGGAGGTGGCTCTGCTCTGGAATTCACCCCGGAGCTGCTTTTGCCTCTGGAGGGGGACCGCGGGTCGGAGCTGGAGGGGCTCTAGTCGGCGGGGCCCTGACCGCTGTGGCCTCAAGATCGGGTCAACCTTCCTCTTGTAAATTTCCACAAAAGGAAGCAGGCAGAATCCTAGAGATGTTCTTCCAGTGGTGACCCCTGTGACGCTCCTGGATCCGAGTGGTGCCAAGGTGGACTGCCTTAGGAGGTTTGCGGGCACTGGCCCGTGTGAGGTTTGGGGACTCCCTGTGAATGCCGTGACCAGTTTTTACCATCTTGATTATGGTCTTCCATAATTTTTTTTTCCAAAAGGATGATACCAAATTACTATTTTTTTATGCATGCTTTTTAAACTTTTTCTCTACTGTATCTTCTGAAAGTACCTTCCCATATATTTCTGTTTTTTTTTAATTAACATAATACATTATTTGTTTCAGGGGTACAGGTCTGTGATTCATGTATTTCTGTTTTTAAGGAATTAATATTTCTAAATTTTCAGTGACTGAAAACATTTCCATGATATAGATGTACCATTTGACCAGTTCTTTACCTTTGGACATTCAGGTGTTTTTTTTCACTTCCTCTTTCTTACTGTCTTCCTGTTACTTCATTCCTTCTTCTTTCTGTCTTCCTGTTATTTACTGGTGATAGAACTTTTGTTTTTGGGTGTCCAGAGTTATTTGTTCGCTGGGCATAGAGTTATTTTATTAAACCCTAGTGTGGACTTTGGGTAGGCTGTTGCTTGTGAGAGTGCCACTTTTTGTGTTCAGGTATGGACCCATATCTTATGTGTATCTGTCTTCCCAGCATGTAGCATTTGCCTGGTACAGTGGGTGCTCACTAAAGAATTATTGTTCAGTTCCAGAAATATAAGGGCCATGGGACAAATATTTAAGTATTTACCACGTATTTAAGGCCCTATATATAGGAATGAACAAGACAAAGATTGTCCTTGCTCTCATAAGCTGAAATACTACTCTCTACAACAAGGTTTATGTTATAAAGATGACAAGCCTCTTAATGTGAGGATCAATTAAAAAACCTTAAAGTTGGGGCACCTGGGTGGCTCAGTCGGTTAAGGGTCTGCCTTCAGCTTAGGTTGTGATCCCAGGGTCCTGGGATCAAGCCCCACATCAGGCTCCCTGCCCCTCCCCCTCCACTCCTGCTCTGTCTCTAGCTTTCTCTCTGTCAAATAAATAAAATCTTAAAAAAAAAAAAAACCTTAAAGTCACACAATGTAGGAGAAGCAGTCTACGTGACCTATAGCGTGGTTACTTTTCATGCATGTGGCTAATTGAGGGTTGACTAATTGATTTTCCTGTAGATGATATTTCTTATTTAGGATTGTCCACTAGGGTTACTACAATGGAATGATTTTTTTCAGGTTCATACTTTTTGACCCTTTCAAGTAACTAGAATCAGTTAACTAAAATTTAAAATTTCATACCTGAACATAATATGTTATACTTAGCTATTATAGAGAACTCAACAGATCTTTTAGGATTGGGTTTGGGGGCAATAGGAAATATATCCCAAAATATTTTTGGTTTTTCTCTTGCACATTTTAAAATATGATTAAACAAAGATTGCAGCCACGGAGATTTTTTGTTGTAAATTGGTGTTTCAACACTGCCAGCAGTCCACGCTTTTTGTGGTCCCACTTATAAAAGTGGAAAGTGAAGGGTGAATGGCTGCCCTCTTGGGCAAGCACATAATTTAAAAAAAAAAAATGTGTGTGCCCCAGCAGAGCTATATTAGAGTTTCATATAGCTGCCTTTTTCTTTTTTATTGTAGGGCCAGCTCTCAATGTTGCAAGAAAAAATAGACCATTTGGAGTGTTTGCTAGCTGAGAATAATGAGATCATCTCAAACATTAGAGACTCGGTCATCAATTTGAGTGAGTCTGTGGAGGATGGTCCAAAAAGTTCACAAGGCAATTTCAGCCAAGGTGCTGGCGCACCTCTTCTGCCATCAAAACAGTTGTCCCTTGTAGTGGACCCTGAAGACTGTTCGTTCGCTTTGCAAAGTGGAAGTCGGAATTCAGATGTGCAGGTAATGTATGCATTCGTTAATGATCATTGGGATTTTCTTGCTTTTCTTTCTTTTTTGATCTGGTGTCTGTTTTAACTTAGTAAGTTGCTTAAACTCTGGATTCTAGTTTCTGTTTTTGTAAAGTGGATTAGTCACATGACCATTAAAGTTGTTTTTAGTGATAAAATTCTGTAATTCTTTATTTCCCTAATTATTTTTTTTATTATTTTATACTTTGTGATTATGGCCTTTTTGTATGCTTTTTAGGTCTTATTTTGTCTAGTAGATGAAGACTTTTAGAGGTTTGTTTAAATTTGACCAAAGAGATTTTCTTATCTTCCTATTAAGAGTATAAGAAAAGCCTTATTCTCACGATATATCTTTTATACATTATAGGTTTCACACAGTGTAGGGTTCGATACCTTCTGCTGAATATCTCTTTGTGAGAGAGGGAAGGGAAATATTCTAGAGCTGTGCTGTTCAGTATGAAAGTCACTGTCCACGTGTGGCTCCTGAGCGCTTGAAATGTGGCTAGTTTGAATTGAGATGTGTTCTAAGTGTTGAAGACTTACTATGAAAACGAATACAAAATACTTTGTTTCATTTTATATATATGTGGAGATAATATTATGAGTATATTGGATTAATTTAAGTAATTAATTAAAAAAATTACGGATTTGCCTTGCATTCTGTTTCTCTTGGATAGCGCTTTTCTAGAGGGTGGTGGAGTTGTAAACTAGGATAAGAAAGGACTTCTGCTTTTCTTAAATTTAAGGTGTGTCAAATGTGCTCTGTTCTGCCAGTTAGCAGAGAGCTGTGTTTAACCTGTACCTTAGACCTGAACTCAAACTTGGTGACGAGTCTGTACTTGTCAATTAATTTAATTTAATTTAATTTAATTTTGTTGGACAAAATGGGTTGGCTCTGGCCTTGCTTTGGAGTAGATGTTTCTACTAACTTCTGGGGACAGAGAATGTGATAGGATCTTGAAGCCCGTGGCTCACAGACCAAGCCAGCAGCTGGAGACAGAGTTGGCCAAGCCTTGTGCCCATAATCTTATCAACTAGTGTGTGGTCAGGTTCCCACACTATCAGGATTCTGTGCTGTGAAGGTATATCTATTTTTGTGAGTCTTGGCTTTGTATAGGTTTTAAATAAGTACCTTTTAAAGGAGAACAACAAAACTCTTTTTGGAGGGGGTTGTTAAATCTGGGCTGGACAGAAACAGCCGTATTGCTGAAGAACCCCAGAAGGCAGGCAGAACGAGGCAGTGGGGTACAGGGCGAGCTGCAGGGCCGGAGAAAGAACCAGAAGGAATAACAGAGACTGTTAACACATCCTCCTTTCCAGCTGGTTCCCTTTATTGACTCATCCTTGGGAGCATTTTATTTTATTTATTAAAGTCATACATTCTGAAGTGAGAGATATGTTGTTGCCTTAAAATACTTTGCATTCACTTTTTACATAATTTGCTCGGTATCTTTAAGTTTTTTTGTAACCCGCTTATATATTTTATAATATATAGTGATTTTTGTGTAATTAAAATTTTATATATAATTTTTACATAATTTAAATTTTACCAAAGTCAAATTTTGGTAAAATCAGTTTTGTGTTCTTTGTCACATTTAGTATTATAGAGGATATGAAAAATACCAGCTTTTAGGTTTTTTTTTTTTCTGCAATATTTTTTCCTTTGTGTCCAAAAAGATTATTACCTCATACTACTACATTGGAAACATAGAGAGCATTTGAACATTTAAAAATTTCCATTTTTACATGATTATGCCTCATTCACTCAGTTGTAGTTTTAGTTTTAGAATGAAAAAGGTGAACATAACATTTGCTAAATGAAGGAACAGCTGTAGATGCATTTCCATTCAGATACAGATTTTAAAATATATGTGATTAATTGTAAAATAAAGACAACTCAAAGTAAAAAAAATCATCAGTATTGCTTGTGAAAATGCTGAAATATTTGGTCATAATCACATTTCATCAAGAAATTTTTTCTTTGCTGTTTAGTTCCTATCAGTTTCCACTAAAATGTATTAGAAGAAAAGCAGGGCAAGAAGGAATTGAATGAAATTATTTTTCATTAGAAGCAGATGGAGGAGGGGCTTATTTATCAGGATAGTTAAGTAACACAGTAGCATTTTAAGAATTTGAATGGTAATTAAATGTTTTCTGCCTTAAACTGTTCAGTTAATGTCTACAGAAATAGTTTTATCTAGTAAAATACATACACAGTGACTAGCTTTGAGCAAATATTTTCCAACATTAAGTTCAAATTAAAAATGGTAATACATGGTTAAATTTGCTCTTTTTTCCCCTATATTTTGTCTTTTGTATTTTTAGATGTTGGATGTTTACAGTCTAATTCCTTTTGACAATCCAGATGGTGGAGTTTGGAAACAAGGATTTGACATTAGCTATTTATTTAATGAATGGGACTCTAAGCCCCTTCAAGTCTTTGTGGTGCCTCATTCCCATAATGACCCAGGTAAAATTTACACTTCAAAAAAACTACAGGTTATTAAGCCCCTGTACACACAGAGTATTTTAACGAGAATCTGGTAGAGCTGATTTCTCAAGTTTTTGAGACACTATTTGCTGACTTGTTCCAGCAACGTATTCCTTTTATTTTGAGTTTTTATCAATTTATGTGCCATTCATGGATAGTACTTGTGCAATGTGAAATAGTAATAAACACAAGAAGGTCTTTGTTTTGGGGATGAAAAGTTGAATTCACTTAAGGTGCTGACTGTTCATCGTAGTTACTTCTTGTAAAATACTGCGTGGGAGAATTATTTTGTGTTCATAAACTGTGCACTAAAAAATGCAGAATTCTCATGGGAACGTTTGAATCTTTAAAATGGAAAAGCAATGTAAAGTGGTTAAGAGCCTTGGTCAGGTGGACATGAGTGTGGAGTCCCAACCCCATGGTGTGAGACAACTTTACGCAAGTTACAGAATGTGAAAGTAAGTATTTTCGCGGGTAGAATCAGAATAAAGTATCTACTTTATAAGATGAGTTGTAAAAGCGTGATGCATGGCCCCGGTAACTCCTGTCATTATCATTATTGTTATTATTTCATATGACAGCTTTTGTTATTTATTGGGGCTGGAGACCTTTTCCTCCAAGGTAAGGGAGAATTGCTAAAATTACAGTGGGAAATATGATTCAATGTATAGATTTGTTAGTGTGAGTACACTGGCACAGAGTAAATACTTCATGAATTCTGTTGCAGAATTTTTTGGGGAATGTACTTCAAAAGACTTCCTTTGAGGACTGACTTACACTTCTATTTGTTACTTTTCTCAATTTTTCCATTTCATCATTACTAATCAGAGGCACCATTATTCACCTAGTACTTTGAAGGTTTTTTTCTTTACTCCCAGCATTCATTTATCTCTGACTTATATCCTTTCCCATTGATTTATTGGCATATGTTCCCTTCTGTTTCTAAGACAGTAGAACTTGTTGCTTTAGGTCTGGATGGACACATGATTTGGTGAAGTTGTGTGTGTCTGTGTGTGCGTACACACGTGTGCTGCTTTGGATGTGAAAGGTACTCGGACAGTTTGGATGCTGAAATGTTTGAATTTCCATAAAACTTCAAAATTCAGTATGCACAGAGGTCTGAAATATGTGAAATCAATATTATTTTGGAAATTTGTGATGAGCATATGTCACACCAGCTTCTGACTTGGTTTCTCTGTCTTTGGTCTTAATGTCTTTATCTTTTCTTACAAATACCCATCCATCTTATTAACCTTTCCTCTTAAATGTTTTGCATCTTCTTCCTCCTTAATCTTAGCCTGTCCCTTCAAATCCAAACTCCGATGGCCAGGCATCATGGAAAGACTGCAGGGATCTGGAGCCAGGCAGAATGAGGCAGGCATCCTGGCTTGGCTGTATACTAGCCCCAAGTCCTTTGGGCACATTTGTGTGTCTGTCAAATGCAGATCATATGGTAGATCATCTTAAAGCAGGAGTTAGTTATCAAGTAAATACAAAAGGTGATGAAAATCACACGTAAATAAAATTCCTTTAGCTATTTACTTACTTGTATGCCAGATTAAATAGTACATTTGCATGTAGGGTATGTGTACTGAAAAACAGGTCTTTGTTTATATCTACACTTAACAGTGAGGTGAGGTGCTCACACTTGATACGTGGGATCTGAGTTTGCCTGTAGGACTACAGATGATTGATTTTCTCTGTAAATCTCATTCACTCTGAAATATTCCCTTATTGAGTGAAATGGTGGCAGAGCCCCTGTAGTATTTAAATTGTTCTCTCCTTTCTTCTCTGCCAGTTCATTTCTTGTCTCTTAATTGGGTGTGTGATGTGATTCCATTGTATCCAGTTTCTTATAGGGTCGTCAATACACTTTGCAGTATGTCTTGCAAGTCCTCATGTGAACCCATTTCTCCAACCTTTTAGATTTTTTAAAGACTTTTATTGTCTCTTCCCCTTTTCTGCCATCCTCAGTTTCCACCAATCTCATTTCTTGTAATTCTAGAACACGCACGCTTAACTGTAATAATAAAATTTGTGGTTTACCAGGCAGTGTGCCAAATGTTTTATAAACGTTGAGTGCTCAAAACAACCCTAGAAGGTGAGTGCCACTATTCCTGATGAAGGCGTTACCAACTTGTCAGACTTCCAGGGGCAGTAAGTGGCACCACAAGAATTCCTTGTTACTTTACCTGGACCTCCCACCTGAGTACACTCAAGGGACAGAGAACATGTGCCTCCTGTTCAGTCTGTCTCATTGCCTAGCCCAACACGTGGCATATAGTAATCGCTAAATAGAGACGAGGCCTTCCCGACCTGTCTCCATGCCCCTCTGAAGCTTCTTGAACCTTCCATACTTGCACACAGGCAGAGATGTCAACGTTTACAGCACTTCTGCTTTGTCTCCTCACTAGAATGCAAGCTCAGTGAGGGCTCACACTTTGTCTTATAACCAGCAGGTCACTAATGCCCAGAAGAGTCAGCAGCACATGGTACTGACTCATTCGGTTCAATAAAATAGTGAACCAGGGAATGTGATTCTGCAGACTCAGAGGAAACATTGGACCTTGACATTCACATTTCTTTAGCTTCCCTCCATCTCTTCTTCCTGTTGTCTTATTTCTGTTCCTTAAAAAAAAAAAAAATTAAAATGTGCTTTGTAATTTTAAATACAAACAGCAGATGATATGAAGCTCTTCAAGGGCAGGGATTACCTATGCCTTTGAGATTTTGTTTGTTTGCCTTAGGGGTTCCCGCTGTAGTTAATGTGTTGTTCCGTGGGGAGATTTCTCTAATCATTGGTCCTGACTGCTCTAAGTGAATCTGTCTGTTGGTATCTTAGCAACCAGAGTTGAGTCTTTTTGTCTTAGTAAAAGATGTTAATGACCCTTACCCTCAGGCCCCCTCCACTTGAGGAAGAAATAATAGTCTGACACTGACCTTTTATTTTTTTTTTATTTTTTAAAGATTTTATTTATTTATTTGACAGAGAGAGACAGTGAGAGAGGGAACACAAGCAGGGGGAGTGGGAGAGGGAGAAGCAGGCTTCCTGCCGAGCAGGGAGCCCGATGTGGGGCTCGATTCCAGGACCCGGCGGATCATGACCTGAGCCAAAGGCAGATGCTTAATGACTGAGCCACCCAGGCTCCCCCATGGACTTTTTGAAAGCGAAAGCGATAGCGATTTTTGCTACCAGGCAAAATAGAGAACAGAACCGCTGGCTTTTCTTGATAATTTTCACCGCTCCTTCACAAAAGTGGAGTTTAGGTAAGCTAAATCATTCTGTGAAGAAGTAAATCATTCAGATCATGAAGAAACCTCTTTTTCAGTGGAAGAAAAGAGATAAGTGTGTGCGCAGACATTCCGAGTCAAAATGTGACTCTGTAATGGGAAATCTTTGTATAATACTCCTAAATGAATGTGCAGTTAGGCGGTTTACTTTCTAAATGAGATTTATAGAGATTTGTTTGCATTTTCTGCAGCAACAGTTTAAAACAAACTTTAGCTTAGTGGTTTGTTTCATCGGAGTTTTGTCTGTTGGGGATAGGAATGTTTGAAATAGACTTATGAAAGATTCCTATATTGAGTTCCCTAACTTTAGGAATTCTGTGGCTGTGTTTTTATATATGTAGCTGTTTTTCTTTTTGGATCGAGTTCTGATATCTCACAAGACAGATAAATTTCAAATTATGTTTCGTATTTTAATTCCTAATCATGCCTTCTTCCAGTCTATGAGGACATGTAACAATTGTCATACAGCATTTTGTATGGTTTACATGAGTTAAAACAAAATTGGAAAGGAATTGTTAAGTAAATGCTGATAACTTTGTACTGTTACACTTTTGAAAAGTTTTGAATCATAGACCATGAAATTAAATGTTAGTTGATTGATACATGTTCATGTTATATTTAATAAGCTGATTAAAACAGCACCTTTGTATCTACAATCTTAATTCTTTCCTTCCCACTACTTAAACTGCCGAAATATTTAGTTAATTTTCCTTCAAAAAAGTCACAGTGTGTAGAGAGTAGATAAGGTATACTAAATGGAAAGTTGGACCACATATTGTTAGTTAAGCAATTTGTAAGATGAACATTAGAAAATAATCCCCCATGTGGTATGACTCTGAATCAGAGAGACCTAGGCACAAGAGCCACAGTGGAAAATCATTTTATTTTGTGCATTTGCAGTTGTTTTACAGAGTTTTTATTGATTCAAATGAGTGAGTAGGATTTTTCACTTTTTTTTTAAATTAAGGAAACAGAATTTTGCATTTAGCATTATATGATAATTTGAAATGAGTGTATGTACCCTTATTCTTTTTTTTTTTTTTGAAGATTTATTTATTTATTTTAGAGAGAATGGTATAAGTGGGATGAGGGGAGAGGGAGAGAGAGTCCCAGCAGACTCCCTGCTGAGCGCAGAGCCAGACTTGGGGCTCAGTCTCACGACCCCGAGATCACAACCTGAGCCCAAATTAAGAGTCACCCTTAATCGTCTGAACCATGTAGGTGCCCCTGTGTGCCCTTTTTCTTAAAAAAAAAAAAAAAAAAGCGAGAGAGAACAAAAACGTGAGGAAATCGCAGTGTGGCATTATTTTAAAGGTTTTCTGCTCATGTATTGTTCAGCACAATCAGAAGAAAAGAGTTCTGGTCAGCCATAGTTGGGTAACACCCAGTGGGTGAAAGCAGGGGAGACTTGCAACTCCATCTGCCAAAGGAACCTGCTGAGTGGAAGGAGATGGTCAGGAGAGGGCCATGTGTTTGTGGGCACAGTTTGCGGAGCACTTTGTTCTGTTTAATAATTGAGGGATAAAATGAGTTCTTCGGTTTTGGCCACTGTGATGGGAAATTTGAGTTTCTGGAGCTAAAATGCATGAGGAAGAACTGAGTGAGAACTGGTATTCATTGCCTGTCTTGTATCAGGGGAGTGTTAAGTGTGTGTTGCTTCATGTAATCCATTCTGCAACCCTTAAAACTGGTAAATTAAACCCCATTTACCAGGTGAAGACAGTGAGGCTAGGGTCGGTATACTAATGTCTTCGAGATCCATCAGTTATAAATTGGCACAGGATGGCGAATTAAAGCTCAGATTTGCCTAATTCTGAGATCTCTGTTCTTTCTACTTACCATGCTGCTTCTCAAGATATTTTATTTAGTTCAAGTGATTTGCTTGCTTTATGGGCGTTAACTAATTTGACACATTTATCTGAACCTTGGGTTGTTAATAGAGTTGCCAGATTTTTTTTTTAAAGATTTTATTTGTGGGCGCCTGGGTGGCTCAGTTGGTTAAGCGACTGCCTTCGGCTCAGGTTATGATCCTGGAGTCCCGGGATCAAGTCCCACGTCGGGCTCCCTGCTCATCAGGGAGTCTGCCTCTCTCTCTGACCCTCCCCCCTCTCATGCTCTCTCTCTCTATCTCATTCTCTCTCTCAAATAAATAAATAAAATCTTTAAAAAAAAATTTTATTTGTGGGCGCCTGGGTGGCTCAGTTGGTTAAGCGACTGCCTTCGGCTCAGGTCATGATCCCAGGGTCCTGGGATCGAGCCCCACATCGGGCTCCCGGCTCAGCGGGAAGCCTGCTTCTCCCTCTCCCACTCCCCCTGCTTGTGTTCCCTCTCTCACTGTGTCTCTCTGTCAAATAAATAAATAAAGTCTTTAAAAAAATTTTAATTAAAAAAACCAAAATTTTATACAGTTCCACATCTAGGAATTTATTCTACAAAAGTTTATCAAGATCTTAATTCACAGATGTTCACTGCAGCATTATTTGCAATAGCACAATATTGAAAGGAACCTAAATGTCAATCAATAGGGTACTGGTTAAAGAAAATATCATATATTCACAGAGTAGAGCTATGTGCATTGACATGGAAAGGTTTTCAAGATTCAGAATAGTCTGATATAAATAGTACCCACTACTAGTTTGCAAAGACTTTTATTTTTTTAAAAAGTTCAGAACGGTATAGATAAGAAAGCTTTTATAGTGGTTGCTCTGGGGAAGCAGGGAGGTTTGGGATTAGCAGAAAGAGGGAGATTTTTGCTTTCTTAGTTTATGCCCTTCTAAACCACTTGGCTTTTTCTTTGTATGCATGTATTATTCATATTTTTAAGAACAAAGAAAATTAAGTGAGATGTCATTTTTAGTAATCGAGTTAGTGAAGTGTTTTGGTTTTGTTTATTTTTTTTCAAGATTTTATTTATTTATTTGACAGAGAGAGAGACACAGCGAGAGAGGGAACACAAGCAGGGGGAGTGGGAGAGGGAGAAGCAGGCTTCCTGTGAAGCAGGGAGCCCGATGTGGGGCTCGATCCCAGGACTCTGGGATCATGACCTGAGCCGAAGGCAGACGCCCAATGACTGAGCCACCCAGGCGCCCCTGG